TTAATTAAGTCCAAAACTATGCAATTATCTCATTAATCATATTAAAACAATTATGTTAATTAAATTTACATTGCATTATATTAAATTAATAAATTAAAATTTTGTAAAATTTAATTTCTTTGTTATTGATAGTAAAATCATACTGTACTGTAATTAATATTAAAAAATGAGTTTAATAAGAATGAATTTTAATTTATAAACACAATATTAATAAATTCATTAAATTAAAACTTGTGTACGAACTTATTCTTTAATTTTTTTACGCTCGTGCAAGGGGTTTAATTTTTTATTCTTAAATTTAACCCTTTCATAATTTTAAAAAAAAATTCTAAAAATCTTGTCATAACAAAGAAATTAATTTTCAAATATTATCATTCCATTACTTTAATAAAATGTCATTTTACTTAGCAAGCTTGGTATTGAGTAACATAATCATTTAATTATGATTAATTTAGTACGACTCATATTTTTAGTGTAACATTTAAGAATTAAAAATATTTTTTTTCATTTTTGTTAAAAATTTTATTTTAAAATTTATTATGGATGGTGAGGGCTCATGGCTAGCAATCATAATATTCTTTGAAATCTTGATATCTTAATTTTGATTTTATAATACATTATTTCAAATTTCTTTGCAATTTTCATAAATAAATTATTTTTCCTGAAAGTATTTAGCCCAAGTGTTGATTCACGTAGGAGAAGTTAGATTAATTACAAAGGTATTATTTTAAATTTTATCAATTAGTTTAATTTGACTGGTTCATGATAATTTTAAAACTTTTTAAAATTTAAGAATGAATTATAGTTTAATGTTAATAAATTATGCACAAGTCTCAATTCATGCTATGATATATGCTTCAATCAAAAGATAATTTTTAATGAATATCTTCAATTTATAACATGAGTTTATAAATTAAATTGCAAAGGTTTAACCGTTAGCAAAAAAATTATCATATATAGCAAAAACCAATAATTAAATGACACATGTGTTTTTATATTTTTATAAACTCAAAAACTTGAAAACATTATCTACGTTTATGCATAATATTTTTCAAAATAAAATTTTATTTCTCAAAAAAAATTAAAACTAAATATTTTTAATATACAGAATTCAAAAATATAATAGTGTAATATATCCATGTGTATATAAACATTACCATATTGAAAATAAATCAACAAAAATAAATGTACATTGAAATTAATAATAATTCAAAATTTAATTTACTTTTCATATTGAGGTGATTTGATGATTATTACTATATAAACTAAATAATTAATTATTAATTATATTTAAAATGTAACAATCAATGATTGAATAACATGTGTATTTATGTATTTTGAGAGATTTAAAAAATTAAAAAATTTGTGTTGAGAGTTTCAAAGGACACACAAGCCAACATAGTCATCCCCAAAGTCATAGGACCACTCGATTAACCTAAAGGTACTAGGGTGCACCGTAGCAGCATGGGCCGAGAAACATAGGATAAAATTTAAGCTCATCTTCTCCAAAGCCGTAGCATGCACGAACAGAAGAGACCCAGAAATTTGGTTTCAATGTCCCCAGTTCAAATACTTGTATCTTCTTCATCGTAACTCCGTTTTATCTTATTTTTCTGTCATTGGATTCACCTCACGGCCTAGTTTTTGGTTCACTACTCACACGCCTCGTTCTGTCTCTTTTTGCATGCCATCCGATCTCTAAAGTTTGACGAAAAAATTAGATTTTTTTTTCCTACCGTCTCGGACATTTCTTCGAACCATCTTTCGGACTCCATAACTTTCTTAATTCTTAACGGTTTTACTTCATTCTTTCGCCAATCTCTTCAACTTACTCCGTACTTCATCTTACATGACCTATTTTTCTCAATTCTTCCCGGAATGGATGGTTTTGGCATGCCGAAAGTAAGCCGAAAACCAACTTTTGAACTTCAAAATAAATTTCTCTAACTTTGCTTCTTTCTCCTCCATCTTCTTTCTTCTTCTCTTTCTTCACCTACAACACTTTGTGGATGGTGGTTCTAGATGATAATAGAAATAGGTGATGGTGGTGGTGCCGGTCCGACGGTGCGCCAATGGTGGTGAAATTCGCGGGTTGGCGATAGTGTGGGTTGAGGCCATGGCTATGGAGGTTGGGGAAGGAGGAAAAACATAGATAAAGGAGAAAGAGAGTTTTGAGAATGAGAGGTAGAGGGAGAGGGAGAACCGAGAGAAAGAGAGATATCAAATTAGAAGAGAAGCAAAGTGAGGAAGATGAAAAGAAATAAAATAAAAAAAAAAAGAGAGAAATAGAACACTTGGTGGCATGGCATCAGCATGCTCACCACGTTGCAGGTGGAATGCAAGAAAAACCTGGGGTAGCAACCCATGGTTTTTGATTGGGTTTTAGTACAGCAATTATATGGTTTCAGTGTAATTTGATTACCAAAAAAATATAGAGAAAAATATAATAAAAATATCATACGGTTCAGAAATTAATATTGAGTAATAATATAAAGTCAAAAATATTTTATTTTATTTTGTTTTGAATAAATTTTCAGTATAAAAATATACAGACTATTAAATTCAAAATATTGTGAATAATTATTTAAGAAAATTAAAAATATACATATTATTTTTATTATATAAAAATACGGGGTTTCACAAGAAGAATGTAATGATTATGGGTTGGATGTGATATTTTATTTTTTGTGACTAAAATAGCCTATTTTATCTTTTATGACTAAAATAACCAAAAAAGTCCCGTTTAACTCTTGACAAACGGAGCCATAGATACCTCTTCATAAGTTAAGCATTAACAAATCTGGGGAAAAGTCAGATGGCATTTCATATATATAAATAATATATGATTTTGCATGGAAAATTACATCTGATCAAATCTATGAATAAAAAATATATATATACATATGTGATCAAATCTTCAACCCAAACACTATCAATCTATGAATATATGTATAGAGAGAGAAAAGTTGTAGATCTCCGATGGCTTCGAAACGGCCAGCGACAGCGTAGCCCAACGATGAGATCACAGCGTCGCCGGGGCGGAGGTAGTGGTGGATTTCGTCGTTGAAATTGACGGTGAAGGCGATCTCGTCGCTGAAATCGACGGCGATCCAATGCGAGTAGAAAAGTAGAGAAGTGATGTGATGGAAAAAAATATAAAAAAATAAAAAAATAAATTATTTGAGGTATGCCAAACTTGACTTTAGTATGGTCATTTTGTAGGAGTTTATAAAGTATTTTTAAACATGAATCTTTAACAAAGAAAATCTAAATTTGAACTTTCAAACCGAAGGTTTTTTACTTAATCACAAGTAAAGAATGTGATAAAGAATGTGTCAAACATAATGAATGTGTCATAAGGAATGTGTCAAACATAATGTTAAGTAATGAAATTAATGAATTTAAAAATATTAATTAAGTCCAAAATTATGCAATTATCTCATTAATCATATTAAAACAATTATGTTAATTAAAATTACATTGCATTATATTAAATTAATAAATTAAAATTTTCTAAAATTTAATTTTTTTGTTATTGATAGTAAAATCATATTGTACTGCAATTTATATTCAAAAATGAGTTTAATAAGAATGAATTTTAATTTATAAACACAATATTAATAAATTCATTAAATTAAAACTTGTGTACGAACTTATTCTTTAATTTTTTTACGCTCGTGCAAGGGGTTTAATTTTTTATTCTTAAATTTAACCCTTTCATAATTTTAAAAAAAAATTCTAAAAATCTTGTCATAACAAAGAAATTAATTTTCAAATATTATCATTCCATTACTTTAATAAAATGTCATTTTACTTAGCAAGCTTGGTATTGAGTAACATAATCATTTAATTATGATTAATTTAGTACGACTCATATTTTTAGTGTAACATTTAAGAATTAAAAATATTTTTTTTCATTTTTGTTAAAAATTTTATTTTAAAATTTATTATGGATGGTGAGGGCTCATGGCTAGCAATCATAATATTCTTTGAAATCTTGATATCTTAATTTTGATTTTATAATACATTATTTCAAATTTCTTTGCAATTTTCATAAATAAATTATTTTTCCTGAAAGTATTTAGCCCAAGTGTTGATTCACGTAGGAGAAGTTAGATTAATTACAAAGGTATTATTTTAAATTTTATCAATTAGTTTAATTTGACTGGTTCATGATAATTTTAAAACTTTTTAAAATTTAAGAATGAATTATAGTTTAATGTTAATAAATTATGCACAAGTCTCAATTCATGCTATGATATATGCTTCAATCAAAAGATAATTTTTAATGAATATCTTCAATTTATAACACGAGTTTATAAATTAAATTGCAAAGGTTTAACTGTTAGCAAAAAATTATCATATATAGCAAAAACCAATAATTAAATGACACATGTGTTTTTATATTTTTATAAACTCAAAAACTTGAAAACATTATCTACGTTTATGCATAATATTTTTCAAAATAAAATTTTATTTCTCAAAAAAAATTAAAACTAAATATTTTTAATATACAGAATTCAAAAATATAATAGTGTAATATATACATGTGTATATAAACATTACCATATTGAAAATAATCAACAAAAATAAATGTGCATTGAAATTAATAATAATTCAAAATTTAATTTACTTTTCATATGAGGTGATTTGATGATTATTACTATATAAACTAAATAATTAATTATTAATTATATTTAAAATGTAACAATCAATGATTGAATAACATGTGTATTTATGTATTTTGAGAGATTTAAAAAATTAAAAAATTTGTGTTGAGAGTTTCAAGATCTCATACGTTTTTTACTTAATATATATATATATATATATATTTTGTAGTTTTCCCCTTCTGATTTTTACTTTTAATTTTTATTTTTTTTGGTTGGTTGGGAGGGAATTTCTTGAACTAATAAATTTTTTTATTCTCAAAAAAATTCCATTTTTTATTTTCCATTATGTTCTGGTTTAAAAGCAGAGTATTCATAATGATGATTTTGCAGATGGGATCTAATAGCGGGTCGAATTCCGGGTCGAAAACCAGAAGAAATTGAGCGGTTTTGGATTATGAAACACACCATGAAGGGTTTACCCCAAGAAGAAAATAGTCCAATTAAGAAAGAGCATTCATAAAAAAGTTTTTCCTGAAAATGGTTGTCAAAATTTATAATATTTTGTTAGTTGTATGATTGTGTTTAAGATTGCTATCTGAAGTGTATTAGAAACGAGCGACAAAAAATTTGAGGGATGAATTAGAATTTTCAATCTTATAATCTGAATTTAATTTCATTTTAGTCTCTATTATTTTAAATTGAATACTTTGATCCTTACCCTTCAAGTTTAGTTTTAATTTGATCATTCCATCCAAATTTCTTAATTCTTACTTCATGTACAGGAAACTTATAAATGTTCTAAAAATGTTAATTTTAATTTTTAACTTGAACAAATTGAAATTACACTTAAAGTATATGGATTAAATTATTCAATTTGAAACAATAAAATTAAAAGTCAAATTTGAGTCAAACTAATAAAAGTGAAATTTATCCAATTTAGAGAATACATATCTTGGCCATTGAAAGTATGTATTGAGTGTTCTTTCTTTATAGGAATTCTTGTTTTCTAGGCTCCTTCAATGTTTTGTCTCCAAGAAATATAAGGTGAATAAAATTTTTATCTTCTATCAATCAGATTCACATCCTCTGCATTACACCATCTAATGTTATAAAATGGTTGACAAAAATCTGTTTTGATCACATAGCTATCGACATCCGATCAACGTGATTTTTTATAGACATATAGTGCTCGACGAGTTTTACACATTGAAATGATTCAGATTATCAAAACAGGACCCGTAGTGAGTCTCCACGGACCCAACAGTACGACCCAGTCCGATTAAGGACTAGACAAAGGCCATTCCCAATAGAAATATTGTTAAAAGCATCTCAACAGTTGAGTTGGTGATGCTTTAAAAAAATTCTTAATTCGTCAAAAATAGTTTGACTACAATGATTTGTGTACTTCCTTTTCACAATTAACCCAAGCTAACATGCTCATGAAAATGATATTATTTTACTATTGTCCAATTGATTTGTAATTTCCATCTAAAGTATGTAAATTTATGTGTACCTAACTAATCTACCTATTTATCTAGGCGCGCGGAATTTATAAAAAAAGCTTGGGTCAATTACGCTAATAGTTTCTATAGTTTGGGACTTATGTCACTATGGTCTTTGACTTTTCAATTGTGACACATTTGACCCTGAAGTTTGAATCTTGTTCCAAATAAGGACAATTGAAAATATTATTAGATTTTTTAAGGATAAAATCGTCAATTTGTTTAAAAAAATTCTTAATTCGTCAAAAATAGTTTGACTACAATGATTTGTGTACTTCCTTTTCACAATTAACCCAAGCTAACATGCTCATGAAAATGATATTATTTTACTATTGTCCAATTGATTTGTAATTTCCATCTAAAGTATGTAAATTTATGTGTACCTAACTAATCTACCTATTTATCTAGGCGCGCGGAATTTATCAAAAAATCTTGGGTTAATTACGTTAATAGTTTTTATAGTTTGGGACTTGTGTCACTTTGGTCTTTGACTTTTCAATTGTGACACATTTGATCCTGAAATTTGAATCTTGTTCCAAATAAGGACAATTGAAAATATTATTAGATTTTTCAAGGATAAAATCGTCAATTTGATAAAATATAAACTAATTTGACAAAAATAAATGTCAAAAAATATTTTTAATTTTTTTAAAATTATTTTTATCCACTAATGATAAAATTATTTAAAATTAATAAAAATTACATGATTAATTTTTTAAAATTAATTTTAAATGATCATCATCCAAACGCATAATAAAAATTAATTTGGTGAAAAAAAAATAAATGTCCAAAAGATTTATCAATTTTACATAATTTTATTTTTAGTAGGTAGAAATAATTTTTAAAAATTCAAAAATGTTTTCTTGACATTTATTTTTGTCAAATTAGTTTACATTTTATCAAATTGACAATTTTACCCTTGAAAAATCTAATTATTTATTCAATTATCCTTATTTGAAACAAGATTCAAAATTCATGGTCAAATGTGTCACAATTGAAAAGTGAAGGATCAAAATGACACAAATCTCAAACTATAGAGACTATTTGTGTAATTTGCCCAAAAATCTTTCTATTGATTAAAGAAAGAAGTTCATAAATGATTTCAGTTTTGAACATAAAAGCACCAGTTCATTACACTCTTACCTTTTCAATCATATTAATATCACTTTACCTATAAAATCGCACATTTAAACTCTTCAATCATAAAATAATCATACAAATACCCCCTTGTAAAGGGATAAAATAAAGCAATTTTTATGGTGAATGTGTCAATGTAGAGTTTTAAAGTTAAAAGTGGAAGTGTAAATACTATTTAATAATGGTTGAGTGGTAAAACGCAATTAATTCTAAAATACGACTAAAAATTTAGTGTTTTTATAATTGAACAGGATAATATTTTTTGCAAGTTCAAATATGAATTCGAGATAATTATTCAGGCTCATGAAACCTATTCTAAGTCTCATTTTGATGATTCAAGTTGTTAATTTTGTAAGATTCTTCGTATATATCATCTATAAAAAATATTAAGTCAATTTGATAGTCATATAATATTTTTATTTTTTCACATTTGTCTATGAATATATATATATATATATTTGAAATTAGACCATCTATTTATTTTTAATTTTTTAGAATTCAATTTTATCAAATAGTTACCTATGGGGACATATTTTGTGAATGACAACACGTGGCCAAGGTAGTACTAGAGTGTCAGCTGAGGTGCCACGTGTCTTGGTCATGTTGCCGAGGTAATCTGCGGAGATACTGGAATCCGAGATGAGCGGATAAGGGTGTAGACACCCCACTTTTGACTGCCCGCGAGGCTCGAATGCTCGGTTCGATGCACTCAATGATGAAAGTTGAATTGTAAATTCACAGTGATTCAGAATCAATCAGTTTCCCGAAATAACTTCAAATCTTCGACATTTGCCTTGTTTTGAACCTTTGAGTCTCATTTTTAGACCTTTCCCTCCATGAGTTGAGTTTGAACCAAAAAAACAGGGGAGGCCATCAAAGCCCGGCTGTGCATTGGTGATGCCCGGCTGTGGCTATGAATGGCCAGTCGGCCTTCGATGGTATTAAACACTGTTTTGGGCGGGAGGCCGCTAGCTGTCTATTTTTGAAGATATTTTCCACCTCCTGAACTCAAATTCTATAAAAGGAAAGCTCTGGGATTGTTTTGAGGGTTGGACAAAAAATCTAGAAGAGATATATACACATAGAGAGCCTTTCCTTCTCCTTTTTCCTTAGCACACAAGCTTTGAGCTAACCTAGCTTGTTTATCTCCACCATACGCAACCTGGTTTTACCACCCTAGAGCCTTGGTTGATCTTGAGGAAGTATAATCCAAACTAGAGAGTGCATAGGAATCAAGTTTGAAGCTCCAAGAACAAGTTTGCTTCTTGAAAAGAATAAGCTTGTATCCTTCTCTCTTGCTTTCATTTCTATCATCTACTTCATTTTTCTTGCTGTGTTGTTTGGTTTTGAACTTGTTCGAAGTGTTGGAGTTAGGTTTGGAGAGTTACCAAAAGGGTAGAAAAAGCTTGCTCTCTCTATACCTTTATCCATAACTCAAACTTTTTCCTTTTCACTCTTACTCTTTAGTTTTCAAACTAATTTTCAGAGGCTTGAAAAGACTAAAAACCATGTTTTGAAGCTTCAAAAATGGAGGGGTTAGCCACCCCTCTTTACCTTTGTTCACTAGCTTTGATTCTCTTCTTCGTTGTTAAGCTTTTAATATGTTATTGGCCACTGTTTTTACCCTTTTAGGGGCTGTTTTGGTGATTCCAGGGTCCTTAAAATTATTCATGCTTTGGTTCATGTGTTGTCTCATAAGTTGACCTACATGATTTGTTGTAATGTTTTCTTTGCTTTGTTTCCTTGTTAAGTGTCTCACTCTAACCAAGCAACCAATCATCTATCACTTGTATTTGAGAATAACTTTAACCGATCGAGGTTGCTCAAAATATGTAAGAATGGCCTACACTTAATGGCTTAATCTTTTAGGAGATTCATTGTCAACGTTGTAGCCTTTCTCTCATGTTTTAGAGAAATATCTCGTTTGAAATTATTTCTTGATTAGAGGACTTAACTTCACCATGGAAAAATGGGCTAATGAATGGATATGACTAAAGCAAATTGGTTTAAAATTTGGTTCAACACACTTAAAGAAAAATAGCTTGAATAACTTAAACTTGGCCAGACATTATGCCAAGCTTCTTGTGTCAAGTGCCATCATGCGTCAATCCATGACGTTTTGATGTTCTTGAAGCGTTGCAACCTTCCTTTTTGAGTTCATACTATAACAAGAGAGAGGGGTGGTCTTGCATTACATTTATTAATTTTGTCCAAAATCATGTCTTAAAGCACCAAGCAATCAATTTCTCATTGATGTCTTTAGAAATGATTCCACTCTTCTATTGAGATCTTCCTATGACAGAGAAAGGAGGAAGGGCAAACAGAGCTTGAAAATGCTCTATTTTCCCTGTTTCACCTTAGAGCATAGAACAGAACTGTACACAAAATCAATGCACGACCGGCCCTCTGTAGGCCTGGCCGGGCTTCAGTGATGCACGGTCGGTCCTTGGTGTTTGGTCAGCAAAGTAATTCTACAGAAACAGAGGCAATAGCTGAAAGTGGAACAGAGACAATCTGGACAGACAGAGTATCTTTCAAGTGATGTGTATGCACTCTCCATTCATCTTCGTTGGTGCTCATGTCAAATGCGCTTGATCGTTTATTGGCTTCATTAGCATAAATTAATTGTGTTGTAACATTTAATTAGTCTAATTAGTTGTACCTAATTATTTGGAGTTGTAATATTTAATTAGCGTAGTCTAGTTAATTTCTTTTAATTAATTAGCTTAGATAGTTAATTAATTATTCATTTCAAGTGTTGTAATAACTAGTTAATTAGTTTAGCTATTTATTTAAGTTTTGTAATAATTAGCTTAGCTTAATTAGCGTAACTAGTTAGCTTATTTATTCGGACCCTTCTTCGTGAGGGCATAATGTTGTAATAAATGTGCTTGCTTGTGTGTATGTTTTCCAACCCCACGTCTTTCTTCCTTTTATTTAATCATTTTCGATGGTTAGATTAGGGACATTTTCAATTAGCATACCTTATGCTCGCATGTTTGCATTCATTCATTTGTCTTGTATGCACCAAGGCTCGGTGCATCATTCAAACTGCATTGTAATTTCAATACTTCTTTGAATATGTGTTTCAAAGCATGCTATTAAAGTATTGCAAATACCATGATTAGATAACCGAGCCCATTAAATTGCATATTGCATGTGTTGCATTAGACATCTTGTATAGTTAGGATCATACATCGTTCTAACTAGTTTTTGTTTTGGTTTGGAGTACTCGGTGAGTTTTATGCTTTAGCATACTTGCATGAGTGTGATTGCCATATTGCTATGTTTCGTATGCTTGCCATGGGGTTATGTACTTAAATGCTAAACTGTATGAATACCAGTGGATGAAGGCTTATTGTTTGAATTGGAACAATTCAACGAATGTGAGTTTTAAGCCCACTATGTTGTGGCAAATCATGTTTTAAGCCCACTATGTTTGGTGGCAAATCCATATCTTTTAAGCCCACTTGAGGGTGGAAAATTCAAACCATTTTCACAAACAAACATGACTTGAAATGTTCCAATTCTTGCGATATAGTCTATATTTGTTTGTGCGCATCACATAATAAAGCTAGTTTAATAATCGGAACAAGAGCACATAATGTTTATAAAAATGCATATCATGATTAGTAGAGGCCGATCTTTGATCGGGCGAGCGGGGGTGCTCAATTCATGACCTTCCCCCCTCGTACCTAAGTTCCCGAGCCGAGGCAACTCTGGTGATGACGGACACGTGGTCTGTGGCACGAGTTAAGGCTTCCTAAATTTCTCCAAAAAATAAAATATTTAGGTGGCGACTCTGTAACCTGGCAAAGCAGTCCAATTTTGGCATTGTTTGATTTAAAATCGATTTTTCAAAAGATTTGCCGGATTTGGACTCTTTGGTGATTATCAGTTTCACATTGCACATTGTGAGATTAGATTCAAAACCACAGGTAGAGTCTGAACTGTGAGGCCTTCTTTTCAAAACCTTTTCGAAAGGCTAGGGCGCGGAAAAAGGCGAGTCCACAAAGGGACTAGAGTCTTAGAATAGGGGAGGAACTCAGTCTGGATACAGGAAAGCTCTTAGGGAGTTTATTTCTATCTCGTTGGGAGTCCAGGAAGAGCATTGAACCAGAGTCCATTGAAGCTCGGCTTCTACAGCGATCAGGTTAGCGTTGGCTATAAAAGTAAGGCATCCTCGTGGGTTTAAGGTACGCTTTTTGTATTCTGGCTTGTGAGTTAAGCATTATTTGCTATCTTTGAGAGATAACTGAGTACTGACTTGATCGTCGGAGTGCTCCCGGGTGGACGAATCACCGCATCAGTCTTATCTTTCTGTGACAGGTTGTTCGTGCGTGATCTAATTTGCTTGTGCTCTCTTGCTGAGTTCCTGTTTGACAGTGTGGTCGGAAATCAACACCTATAATTTGGCGCCATCTGTGGGAACGTAAGAAAAATAGATGGCCAACGACAGACATAAAGAAAAGAATAGGGGCAACATCCCTAGTGGGAGTGGTTAAAACGTCGATCCTAACGTTGAGGAGGACAACTGTAATAAAGAACCTTGGGATAAGAACCCCGGGGAAAAAGACGTCGGACAAAAGGAAGACGTATCGAAGAAAGCATGTCAAGGCAGGTATTATAACGAAAGTGACCTCCAAGTATGGAAAAATAGATGTCTAAAGAGGGACGGCGAGATAAAGGAAATGGCAAACAAGTTGGCAGACCTACAATCAGTTGTCAACTTCATGATGTAGAAAAACGTCATGCAGCCACCGTTTCCATTGGAGGACACGCCGATTCCAGCGGCCAAGAACAATGCTTAGAAAAGGGGACATAAAGCAATTCCTGTAATCCCTCAGCATGACAAGGCAAAAGAGCATTCGCATCGGCCTTCACTTGAGGTCAGACAAGGAGAATCGATGAGAGGAGAGTTTTATAAGACACCTTGTGCCAAGGAGACCTACGTCAAGGAACAACGGCATGTTCAGGGGAAGAAGCTTTATTTCAACACTATGAATGAAGGGAGGTCCAAGAGGACTCACAACGACACCGGGAGTAGCGTACCAAAAAGGCTAAAATCCGTTGACAGCCAAGCTCCTGGACGGACTAAGAAGGATTTGAGGGACTACCTCCAGAGGAAGCGACAAGATGCCGAGGTCACGTCTCCGGTAAATCCGAGAACGCCGTTCTAAGTGGAATTGAACAAGTTTGAGGCTTCGAAAGGGTTCCACATGCTTAGATTCTAGATATACGACGGTAAGTCCGATTCTAACTTTCACGTCGGCTTATATTTGAACTCAATGGCACTGTATACAGGGAACGAACCGTTGCTCTGTAAGGTGTTCCCCTCATCCTTTGGGGAAATCGCATCAGATTGGTTGCATAAGTTGTCGAAAGGAACTGTGAAAAGTTAGGAAGGCCTGATTGAGATGTTTGTGGCCAGGTTCATTACAAACAAATTGCAACCGTTGAGGGTAGATTCCCTGATGGCTCTGAGAATTGGCGAGGATGAAAGCCTCAGGGCTTATGCCAAAAGGTATTATAAGGTGTTTAACTAAATACCAAAGTGCAACCAAGAGTTGGCGGTCGTATCTTTTAAGAATGGCCTGAATGGTGACTGCCTGCTTCGAAAGTCACTGGCAAATATGCTGCCAAAAAGTATGGAGGAACTCACGGCCAGGATCGAGAAATATGCAAGAGCTAAAGAGGACAGGCTAGGGACAAAGCTGTTAAAACAGGATATAAGAAACGGCTTACCGAAGTGAGGTTGAGGTAATACTGGATATAACAAGCAAGAGATAGGACTGAGGGTTGTATATGCAGTCACTACCATATTCCGATTTATAAAGTTCTAGAAATAATCAGGAACCAGCCGTATTATAGATCTCCAGAAAAGGTTCCTGGCAAATTCATGGGAAGAAGCATGGAAAAACACTATGCTTACCACAATGAAGATGGACACCTGACACAGGGTTATAGAGCCCTGAAAGCACATTTGGAAGATCTGGTAAGATAAGGTCACTTAAGGGACCTAGTAGATGAGGCCAGAACAAGGGAAGAGCAAACAAGGCTACCTAAGGCACTGGTAGCACCACCTCCACTAGTACCACAACCATAAATGGATAGACCTCAAGTGATCAACGTGATTCACTCAAAGGATAATGAGAACGAGGTACGTGGGGAGACTCAGCGGGTAAAACACTTACAGCATGTGTATTAGGTCCAGCAAAAAAGGCCTAGGACAGACAAGTACCAAGGACCAATGGTGTCCTTTACTGACGCCGACCTAGACATGGTGCAGCATCCACACAACGATGCTCTGGTGATATCCCTTAAGATCGGAGAATGCCAGGTAAGGTGCATTTTGATTGATCAAGGCAGCTCTTGTGACATCACGTATGTCAGCTATTATAAGGAGCTCGGCCTTCACCGAGATGATCTGGAACAGTCCAACAATCCAATGGTCGGGTTCAATGGAACGCCGACATGGCCCCTAGGAGTAATAAGTTTGGAGGTGCAGGCAGGCACCAAGAAGGTAAGTACAGAGTTCTTAGTAGTTGACACCCTATCCCCTTACAATGTTATCTTGGGGAGACCATGGTTGCTCGCAATGAGGGTTGTTCCTTCAACACTACACCAGCTATTGTCGTTCCCAATAGAGCATGGAATTAAGGAAGTCAGAGAGGATTAGGTGCTGGCAAAGAATTGCTCCATGGCAGTAATGAAATCCACCTGCAACGTGCGAGAGGCAGAGACAATCAAAATTGAGGACGAGGACATGAAGGTCCTGGACAACGTCGGCAAGGAGCCAACCGACAAAAGCGAGGAAGCCTTAAAGAGGATCCTGGTTCAACAAGGGAATGAAGAGCGCTTCTTCCTTCTTGGCTTAGGTTTGGCCGATGAGGAAAAGAAGGCGTTAGAGTCATTTTTTGCGAGCAAACATAGAGGTGTTTGCCTGGATGCCATACGAGATGCCTGCTATTGACCCCGAGGTCATTTACCATAGGCTAAATGTAGACAGGTCGGCCAAACATGTCATTCAGCGAGCAAGGAGGCTGACGTTAGTCTATGTAGAGGTAGTAGAGGAGGAAGTGAATAAATTATTAGAGGCCAGAGCCATCCGAGAGATAAACTACCCTACTTGGCTGTCCAACATTGTGGATGTGAAAAAGAAAAATGGGAAGTGGAGAGTCTGCGTGGACTTTACTAGCCTGAATAAGGCTTGTCCCAAAGATAGTTTTCCACTCCCCAAGATCGATTAATTAGTGGATGCCACTTTACAATATAGAAGGATGAGCTTTCTGGACGTTTAGAGGGGGTACCATTAGATAACAAAGTACCCTCTAATAAAGAGAAGACTGCATTTATTACCCTAAAAGGGCTGTATTGCTACAAAGTAATGCCTTTCAGGTTGAAAAATACAGGAGCAACGTAGCAAAGGTTAGTGACTAAGATGTTTAGACATCTGATTGGCAAAATAGTGGAAGTATACATTGATGATATGGTCGTAAAGACCAGAGAACCTGAGAACCACCTGGCCGACTTTAAGGTAGTTTTCGATATCCTTAGAACATATCGGCTCCAACTCAATGCTTTGAAATGTGCATTTGGAGTTGGATCTGGTAAGTTCTTGTGATACTTGGTTACCAAAAGGGGCATTGAAGCAAGCCCAGATCAAATCAAGGCCATCCTAGATTTGAAAAGCCTAGAGTCGGCAAAACAAGTGCAGATGTTGACTGGAAGGGCCGTAGCCCTAAATAGATTCATAAGCAGAAGTTCAGATAAGTGCAAACCGTTCTTCAATCTGTTGAAAAAGGCCATAAACTTCTTGTGGACAGAGGAATGTGAAGTCACCTTGGCCGACTTGAAAAGATACTTGACCACAGTTCCTGTTCTCTTAAATCCAGTACCTAGAGATGAGTTATTCTTATACTTGGCGGTTTCGGAACATGCAGTGAGCATAGTGGTAATTAGAGAAGAGAAGGGAGAATAGAGAGCAGTATGCTATGTGAGTAAAACCCTAGCAGGTGTAGAGACTAGGTATTTACCCCTGGAGAAATTAACATTGGCCTTAATGATGGCTTCCAAGAAGTTGAACCATTATTTCCAAGCCCACAAGATTGTGGTATTGACTAAGCACCCCTTGAAGTCCTTGTTACAACAAGGAAATCTAACAGGCAGCGTGGCCAGATGGGCAGTGGTATTGGGCCAATACGTTTTAGAGTTCAGACCTAAAACAACAATCAAAGGCCAGGTTCTGGCCGACTTCGTGGCCGAGTTCACACCAGGTGCCATCCCACATCGGGCTCCGGTGAGCCGCGGCCTAAGATGTCCAGGGGAACAAGAAGAGACCCAGCTGGGAATAAAAACCCCACAGCAAATCAGAAGAAAGAAGAAAAACTCAAGCCTTGTGATATCTTTATCGGCGACTTCTTCTGCTTGTTTGTTAATGGAAGTTCAAACCGTCATGGAGTAGGGGCAGGAATGGTGTTAGTATCTCTGGAGGACGAATGTTAGAGTAGTCTATTCGTTTGGGGTTCAAAACCTCAAACAATGAAGTAGAATATGAAGCACTAATCGCAGGATTGAAGTTGGCAGCAGCAATGGAAGCCAACGAGGTGGTGGTCTTCTGTGACTCCCAGCTTATTGTGAACTAGGCAACAGGCGAGTATGTAGCCCGAGATGAAAGAATGATAGCCTATGTCAAAGAGGTTGTTAGGCTGCTAGCCTTATTTCGGGACTGCCGACTACAGCAGGTTAGCCGAGATGACAACAGCCATGCTGATGCCTTAGCTAACTTGACTAGTGCAATGAAATCAGGGAAGGTAAGAACAGTAATGGTTGATTATTTGTCAAGCCCAAGTGTGGAACCTCTGATCATAGAGTACGAAGCAATGTGTGTGGAAATGGGCCTAAGTTAAATGGATACAATAGTAATGTTCCTTAGAGATGGGAAGCTGCCAGATGATTGCAAAGAAGCACACAAGACCAGACTGAAGTCGGCTAGGTTTAGCCTGACAGCAGAAAGACATCTCTACAAGAGGTCTTTTACTGGTCCCCTTTTGAGATGCGTGTATCCCTCCCAAGTTGAAAACTTCTTGTATGAAATACATGAAGGAGTATGTGAAAGCTATGTCGGGGGCAGATCACTTGCTCATAGGGCCATTACTTAGGGGTACTGGTGGCCCTACATGCAGAAGGATGCTGAAGCCTAGGTTAGAAAGTGCAAGAAGTGTTAAAGGTTCGCGTTTTTGATTCATCAATCAGCAACAGATTTGAACCCAGTGTCCAGCCCTTGGTCATTAGGCCAGTGAGGCATAGATCTTGTTGGACAACTACCCCAAGCAACTGGACAAAGGAATTTCTTGTTGGTAGCAACTGATTACTTCACAAAGTGGGTAGAAGCTGAACCCCTTGCGAAGATTCGAGATATTAATGTGAAGAACTTCATATAGAAGAACATCATCATCAGGTTTGGGATCCCAAGGGCAATAATAGCTGACAATGGTACACAATTTGACAGTAAGCTAATCAAAAGCTTCTATGCAAAGTACAAAATCAAGAGCTATTACTCTATTCCAAGTTTCCCTCAGAGTAATGGTCAGAAAAAAACATCCAATAAAACTATCTTGGATGGGATCAAGAAGAGGCTGGAAAAAGTAAAGGGAAAATGGGTAAAAAAGTTACCCAATGTACTCTAGGCATATCGAATTACACCGAGAAGATCAACTGGGAAACCCCCATTTGCCATGGCTTATGGCACAGAAGCAGTTATCCCACTGGAAGTCGGCATCCCAGGGATCAAAACCCAAAGAGTAGAGAATGGAACTAATGAGGCATTCTTGGCCCGAGATCTAGACCTACTTGAGGAGAAAAGGAAAAAAGCAGCAATTCAACTGGGGGCATATCAACAATAACTTGCTAGGGCTTATAATAAAAAGGTCAACCCAAGAGAGTTCAAAGTTGGGGACCTGGTACCAAGGAAAGTGGTCGGCAACAAGAAGGACCCTAGGGAGGGCAAGCTAGGCCCAAACTGGGAGGGGCCTTATAGAATCATCTCGGTCGCTGACAATGGGTCATATCGGCTTGAGGACAGTGAATGCAAAGAGTTGCCAAGACCTTGGAACACTTACAACTTAAAGTTTTTCTATCATTAGACTTTTTTGTTTTCCGAAATTTATGCCATAATTTTCTTAACTGAGGTAGTAATAAAATTTTTTAGCCTGATTTTTTAAGAATGTGAAATTTGTGTGATAGGACTGACCAGACCTTTGGCGATGTTTCTAATTGAAACATGACGAATAATTTAAACTTATTATATGGCAGAGTTGAATTGTACTTGCATATAATAGAGTTGAACTAAGTTGGCGATGTTTCTGATTGAAGCATGACAAATAACTTAGACTTATTATATGACAGAGTTGAATTATACTTGCATATAATAGAGTTGAACTAAGTTGGCGATATTTCTCATTGAAACATGGCTAATAACTTAGACTTATTATATAATAGAGTTGAATTATACTTGCATATAATAGAGTTGAACTAAGTTAAATTGAAATTAGACTTGCTATGTCGACAGAATTAAACTTGGAATGGAACTATGTGCATTAATAGAGAAACCAAGGTTGAGAACCTCGACTAGTCTTTGTTTGAAACTGACTTTGGCGAAAGATTATACGTGCTTAATGTGAACATAAGTGAAACTGAGGTTCACATTAGGGGACAGAGAGCTAGAGAATACAGAGTAAAAGTTTAAATTGCTTGGGACTTGTTAAAATTTTACAAGGAAATTTACAAGTTGAAGTTAAGTCGAGAGAATATTGAAAGATGTACCCGACATACGTACTTGCCGAGATGACCAGGTTGTCAAAACTTGTTAAGGATAGAAAACATAAGTCTTGATAAAAGACAGTAAGTGAGAGTGAAGTGACAAGTTTGAAGAAACAACATATGTAAAAATATCTCAAAATATTTTTAAGTGTTAAACCAAGGCCAAGATAAACAATCAGAAGATATATCCGAGGTACTTTATCCCGAGGAGATTTGCAGTTAAGGTGTACTTTGAAGAAATACAAAAATATTCTAAGTATGAAAGAAAACAATAAAGCCTACAAACATTCAAACACTTAGAAGAAAGAAGGGGACTTACATTCAAAGAAGATTACTTGTTCAATTACAAAAGCGGCACATCGGCCAAAATATGAAGCTAAACATTATTCAGACAAAACAAAATACAACCAAAGAAAGAAAGAATACAAAAAAAAGGTGAAATATCCTAAGTATGAGGATTGGTTGGTGATTTCTCAAACTTGGCTGGCAGTGCTTCATTCTTTTCGGCCGCTATCTCGGTATCTATTTTTAGCAAAGTCTGATCTAGACTCTTTTCGGCACACTGGACCTCGACTTCAGAGATGGCTGGCTTGGGAGAGACACCCTTGGAAACCAAGTCATCCTCCTCATCTTGAGTCAAGTCTATTTGCTCATTGAAGGTGGGAGACTTGGCATTAGTAGTAGCCTCCTCCTTCGCTTCGTCAGCTTCACTATCATCGGCGTCATCTTCATCGGCTTCATCGCCGGAGTCCTTGGGCTTTAGAGGGAAAGGTACTTGAAGTTGACTAATGTCTCGGAGGTCAGAATCTATTGGAACAGCTAACTTATTGAGCGACCCCGTCCAACTAAGGTAGTAAT